ACTTTTGCTATTCAAATCTTGCATGTCATAACTTTTACTATTCAACTTATTTCATGGAGCGGGGTTGACATTAAAAATAACATGCCCCTCCTTTTTGTTTTACAATTTTTTCCATTCATTTCTTTTTTAATAATTAATTTTTTTTTATATATTATTTTATTTTTTTAAACATTGTTTGTTTTACATGTCAGAAATTAATTAAAACTGATCTCATTAATATCTTATCTACAGCATTCTGGTAAAATTGATGAAATCTAAAGAATAAAAAGGAATCAGTTTAATCATCAATTTTCAAGAGAAGGAGAAATATCAGAAATATTTAGTCAGTGACCACGAACTACAGCGAACCACAGGGCAAGGAAAATTAAAATAACAATAAGAAGAAAATACAGAGAAATTTACAAAACCGAAGAAGAAAACATGGATACAAATAAATTATAACAAATAGAGACATGGAGCCATTTGCAAAAAAACATACACAATAAAAATGTTAACTTTACACTAACCAGATAACTTAAGCAGAAAAAAAAGTGAAAATCTAATTTCTATGCTGTTAAACTGGTAACAGGGATACTTTTCTTTTTCCAACCTTCAAACGTTCACGAAAATACTGTTTTACCGAAGAAATTCCATTCAGTTGAACTCAACCCATTATGAAATGTAACCATTGCTAAACAATGTTATTACATATTATAGACAATAAGAAATACTAAACCATAAAGCATACAGATAGAGTTAAACTGGCTGGAACCACCCTTAGCTAACCTTAGGCTAATGAACGGCTAACGTAGCTCGACTTACTTTTTCATAAATATGTTACGAGACAATTATTACTCTTATAAGGTTACCAATTATGTCAATGGAGTTAAAAAGAGAAAACATAAAGTAACAGTACCTGTCCGTGAGAAAAACTCATGATTTGTTTGAGAAATCTTTACTTCCTGCTACAAAAAGATATCCGTAATAAGGAGAGCAACGCCGGTTTTCTGGTGCTTCCTATTGGTCAGTTTAAAGCCCCCTTATGAACGCAGCTTCTGATTGGATGACTGAGTGGAACAATGTTGACAAATGATAAATGGGGAAAAACAACAATAAGCACCTCCCAGCTGACTCAGTTTTTCTGTTTTTCCTGCGAAGCTTTAGCAAAGTCTCAGTTTTACATTTCAAAACGCAATTAAATATATTTTAGGTATATTAAAGGTTCATGAAAATCCAGAAAGGGGACAAGCAATACAAATGTATTTTTTATCATTGGAAGTATTTGTCCGAAGTGAAAACAATATTTGGCCTTGGGTCCTTATATAAGTGTCAAAGGATGTGCATAGAAGTTAAGGTCATTTTTGAAATGAAAAATGTTAGGGGGCATTTCTGCATTTAATTCCTTTTTGCTTATTTTATGTAACTAAACATAGACTAACACTGGAAGAAATTGAAAGAGAAATTTAACTTTATTGATCTCACAATGGAGAAATTCTCTCTTTGCATTGCACCCATTCCCTTTGGGAGCAGAGGGCTGCCATTTTGCGGTGCCCAGGGAGCAGTGTGGGGTTAAGGGCCTTCTTCAGAGAGCCAGAATGTGGGGATCAAACCGGATATTTGCAAACTTCTCAGATTGCACTAACCACTAGGCCAAAACTCCCCACAGTTCATCAACTTGGTTTCCTGTTTTTTAGTAACAGTCCAGAAAATTATGTCATCTCAAGAATAAAAAAGAGATGATAATACTGTTACATAGCCTACACTGTGTTTGTAAATCTGAAAAGAAGCTTTTATGAATCAGACAGAAGAGGAAACATAATTTCGTTGTTTCAATATCATCTTCGCAAAAAGTGTAGTTACTATATTAAATGTTTTCAAAGTAATTCTTTAGATGGATATGTATCAGTCATAATAACGAAAGCTGTTTCTTTTACTTTAGGAATTATTTTGAAAGTCAATACATGGATATCTTTTTAATAATTGAATCTTTATCAAATTCACTTGGGATATCCTTATGAATTTTTCAACTGCAAAAGAAATACTCAGTCTAAAACACTGCAATAAAGAAATTGTTGTATATTTTTGTGTAAAAGTTGGATGCATGAATCGATAGCTCATAGCTTTTAAATTCTTGGAAAATTGGGTAAGTGAATGACAAATATTTTAAACTGGAGGGTTGGGTCATGTATTTTGCAGAGACTGTTACACTCCAATCAAAGCAAAATCCCATTAAATGGAATACAGACCAAATATTAATCTGAAAAACTCACACAAAGAGAACAGACAATAAGGAGAAATTTATTGATACAATTAATTTGTCTTTGGCAGTCAGACCTCGGCAGGAAATATAGTGCTTAATTTTGATAGATATGCATGAACAGGAGCATGGGGGAGCATAGCCCCTCCCCGAGGCCTGAAACTGGTGGTGGAATGGAGATAGATGAAGTTGGTCTGTCTGTAGACTGCTGGTTGGCAAGACGGTATGCTGAGGTTTATGGGGAGATCCAGTGGATTGCGTGAGCTGATACTAGAGCCTTAATCAGCACTGCAAAAAAATTGAACTACATCAGTCAATTTTTCTTAAAATAAGTGCCCTTTTTCTTAAATTGAGGAGGAAAGTGAAAAATTTTGCCAGTGGAACGTGACAATTTACATTTAAAATAAGTACAATTGTATTGTCTTATTTCAAGCGCATGTTATCTAATTATCTTATTCTAAGAGTGAAAATACTAATTCCATTGGCAAACTATCTCATTTACCTACCTTTACCATTTTCCCATTGTAGCGATATTTGTTTAAGGAGCTTTTTTTTTTTTGTTATATAAAAAACCCTGTGAATTTAAACCTTTTCTTCCTTTTTTAACAGTGTCCTGTCTGGCAATGTGGCAATAACAGTAATTGTCTTGATGCCAAAAAGAGCCCAACAGATTTTACTTTTTATTCACCTCATGGATTTGCATTGTGAATTGGTCTGAAAGCATTCCAATTTCTCCAAATTAGTGAAATGCTAATTCGATCATATCCCAAATTCCTCTGGATAAACTGTGGTTTTCAAACACAAGATTCATCTTAAACTGTAATATGGTTTTCAACCAAGTTTCCCCTTCTTCTTTGTACATAGTAGTATTTTGAACAGAGGTTGAGGTGAATTTGTTCTATTTATGTGCAGAATTAACTGTTCGACCGTGATTAGTGCTCGAATCACTCTTTCATTTATTGTTCTAACACACAGCTAAACAATATATAACAGCCGAAATAATATCTGATTAAATTATATATTTCTCACCCCAACCGGGGAGGGCAATAAACATCTTAAAGTATCAGAAAATATAAATCCCCAGCTGGCTGGGAATAGAATAGAATATAAATCCACAACATTAATTGCCATCCCAGGATGAGCATAGTTTATATTTGTGTTTCTAATTGTTATGGGTCTCCTGTTTTCTATAATTTTTGTTGCTTAACTGGTTTTATGAATTTGAATTTTAACCCCCTGTCTAATTGTCGGTGCAAGTGTAAAAATCCCAAAGACTTCAAGAAAAGCCTGGTTGACTTATTCTCTGATATTCCCCAAGGAGTGACAGTAAAAAAAAATCTGGACCACATCTGAACCTGAGATTAAATATAACATCAAGTTCCCCAATTATTAATTGACTCTCACATGTATCTTCATAATTCTTATCTATTTTTGGAACATATTAGTCAGTGAATCTTTAGAAAGATTTACAATCTATTTTAGAAAACTTAAATCTATAAGTTGATTATAAAATTAAGAAAATTATAGTGGCTATAGTGTATTTAGTGTTTTTTTTTCTTTTTATTCAAGTGCAATATATATTTTCCCCACAGTTTAAAAAGAAACTGTCAGAACAATTTTATGAGGTAGGCATTTATTGGTTGCAATGATAAATACAAAGTATAAACACAACATTTTCAACACTTCTTAATCCCCTTCTCAATATGTATTAAAAGCAGTTTATGAAGTTACAAAATTTGTTCTGCAAAGTGCTCTGCATTCATTTCTCTATCTGTTAATCAATAGTGGTTATTGCTTTTCTCCATGTCAGTAGCTTCATTTACTTTGTCTTTGGGTCTTGATTATTTACACCTCTTACTAGGCTTTTAGCTAGGAATATTTCATAGGGTGTACGCACAACTTAGTGTATCACATCGCAGGGGGTTCTGGTGGTATCCAACAACAGAAAATTTAGAAATTTAGACTCTCTAAAACACTATTTCCTGCACTTTGAGGTGGAATGCAGCTAACTTTATGTCTTTTCATAACACTACTTTTGGGAAGTATATGAGCTTGACTAGAGGTGGAAAACTAGAGGTGGTTTTTGATTCTTGTACACATTAAGGTTAGACACGCCTAAAGAGGATCTTTAAGTGTTTACAGATTCATCTGATGTTTCTGTTGCTTCAGTGTTCAATGGCAGAGTGGCTTTGATATATTTGCTGTGATCAGCTGCATCGGGCCATGTCACCTTTTAGTTTTTTATTTTTTTATTTTTTAGTTTGGATTTATTTTTATGCGAGAAAGTCCACCTCAAAACATTTTCTGTGCCGTCAGTTCATCAAGATTACGATTCTGCCTTAGCATATTATTACGCTGTCTGAGGCTCTCTGATCCTCACATATCGACGGTGCACTGTCACTTGGAATCCCCAGCAGCAGCTGCTTCAGGCCATGTCGCCTCTTAGGGTTCGTCTTTTTTGGCGACTGGAAGTAGACATATATTGCTGGCAGGTTTAGATATTTTACGTTAATTTGGGCATTAATAAACAGTTTCAGTGGAGTAATCATAGCGACCTCCATCAGCATCACTGTCCATCTCCCTGCCAGCTCCTAGATTAACTTCTCTGATTGGTTGATGTGGTGCGTCAAACAACAAAAATTCAAGTTTTCCAACTCAGGATGCGCTGCTTGTGAAATTTTGAACATTAAGCAAAGTTTCCGGGGGAAAATTAGGGAGTACCAAAGCTGTACATATCAAAAACAGGATGTAAAATGTGTCATTTTTTTAGTTAAAGTGCGTACAATATACTCCCATATTCATTGCTAGCTAAAAGCCTGGCTCTTACAGATAACCAGAAATAAAGACACTCAAACATAATACTCTTTTTGAACATACAAGTCAAAAGTCTTTTTCATTGTTTGAATTAGTCCATGTTGAGCTTGTATTGAATATCAGTTTATGTGATAAACTGATTGAGGTAATTTACAAATCCACTTTCAAGGATCGCTTTAAGCAATGGTGTTCCTCTTCATGGAGTTTGTTAATAACGCTCTGAAAGATTACTTCTTGCTTTTCAGCAGGATTGGGTAAACTGGGAATAGTTGTACCTAACATGGGTCTTTTTTTTATTTTCCAGGCCAAGGACCCCCAAACTAATGGCCAGATGGAGCGGGGACCTCCTAATTATATATATGTTGTATGAAATTGTCTTATATCAAACTGGTCCGATAGTCAATCCATTAAAGATGGAGTCATGTAATGAAAGTAATTTCGCCCTGGGATTATTTCTGATTTGGATTCCTCATTCACAACACCTGATGCGGCAGGTGTTGTGAATGAGATGATGCTCAGCTTGAAAGAGCTTGTGTGTGTCGCTGAATGTCTGCATTGATGACTTAAAGACATCTTCTGCCTCCATTTATCTGTTTACTACAGTGTGTTGAATTCATGTTAATGTGTATTTAAAGACATTTCAATTAGTGGAAAAAATTGCAGGGGGGAATCTAAAACAAAAAGTCTAAACACGACAGTTAGGTAAGACCGCCGCCGTAGAAGATGTCTCGTTATCTGTTCTGTTGTTGCTCCAACCCCCACGCACTGGCTTCGTGGACCAGCTAGAAGGCTTTTCTTCCACTGTACTGTCGGTGATGTTCTGATTTGATGCTGTAGGATCCACTCTTTCTTTAGATTTGGACCTGTATTGCGACTTGGGTTGTGAGAGTGGTTTCATCTCATGAGTCTCTACAAAATCCATAATTTCTTCCTCCTTCCTCTTTTCA